TCTCCTGAGGTCCTCTCTTTCTGTGGAAGCTTCTGGGTCCAGGGGTATCTCCCTTCCTTTTCCAGCTTTCTGAATCCCACCTGGATATTCCAATGCTGCCTCTCTGGTCCGTGCATGTGGCAAGCATAAAACCTCTGAGATCCCTAAGAAACTTTCCAGAAAAAAGGCATACATCAAGGGAGTTTGCAGATTTCAGAGTGGATGAGATACGGGGCCAGGCCCCTCTTTCTCACTGCAGTCTTGTTCCAAGAGCAATCATCCAGCTTCCTCTCCAAGCACCCCCTTCACCTCCTCCTCACTCCTCCTTCCTCAAGGGACACCAGGATGTCCCTAGCCCTCCTTTACCTCCTCAACTGAGGAGAGAGCTGCTTCTCAGGAAGGCCCCAGTATCCCTGACCTGTGATCTGAGCAAAGTTCAGCACTTCCATAGGAAACTCCCCAAGGTTGAGCGCTGTTGTTTCTGTTTTAGTTTTCGGACTTGTCCTTGAGGCTGGGAAGGTCCCAGCCCGGATCTTGAATGCTTTGAGGGTCTAGCTGATGGAAATGGACACATGGCCTCACCTCATGCTGTGTCTCCACCCAGCAGGAGCTCGGCTAGGTCTTAAGGGCCCGGAGAGAGTTGGCCTGGTTCCAGCCATACCTCCCTTTTCTTTTCTTTTTTCTTTTTTTTTTTTTTTTTTTTGAGACGGAGTTTCGCTCTTGTTACCCAGGCTGGAGTGCAATGGCGCAATCTCGGCTCACTGCAATCTCCGCCTCCTGGGTTCAGGCAATTCTCCTGCCTCAGCCTCCTGAGTAGCTGGGATTAGAGGCATGCGCCACCATGCCCAGCTAATTTTTTGTGTTTTTAGTAGAGACGGGGTTTCACCATGTTGACCATGTTGACCAGGATGGTCTCGATCTCTTGACCTCGTGATCCACTCACCTCAGCCTCCCAAAGTGCTGGGATTACAGGCTTGAGCCACCGCGCCCAGCTTCCTTTCCTTATTTTCTTTTTTTTTTTTGAGACGGAGTTTCGCTCTTGTTATCCAGGCTGGAGTGCAATGGCGCGATCTCGGCTCACCACAACCTCCGCCCCCTGGGTTCAGGCAATTCTCCTGCCTCAGCCTCCGGAGTAGGTGGAATTACAGGCACGTGCCACCATGCCCAGCTAATTTTTTGCACCTTTAGTAGAGACGGGGTTTCACCATGTTGACCAGGATGGTCTCGATCTCTTGACCTCGCGATCCACCCGCCTCGGCCTCCCAAAGTGCTGGGATTACAGGCTTGAGCCACCGCGCCCGGCTCCTTTTCTTATTTTCATAACAAATTTACTATCTCTCAATTCTGTAGGTCAGAAGTTTGACACAGGTCTCTGTGGGCTCAATGAAGTTGTTGGCAAGACTTCGTTCCTCTCTGGAAGCTTCAGGGGAGTCTGTTTCCTTGTCTGTTCCGCCTGCCAGAGGCAGCCCACAGTCCTCGGCCAGCAGCCTCCTTCCATCTTCAAAGCTGGCCGTGGAGGGCAAGCCCCTCTCATAGCGCATCTCCGCCTCTGCCTCCGTATCACCTCTCCCTCTGTGACTCCTAGCCACTCCTCTTGGGACTGGGAAGTCAAATCAGATTTTCCAGAGGTGCCCCAGTGGGGAAAAGAGCCAGCTGGGCCTTCCAACCCAATCTCAACCACAGCTACTACCCTTCTGTGTGTTTTTCTTGTTTTTGTTTTTTGTTTTGTTTTGTTTTTTTAAGACAGAGCTTTGCTTTTGTTACCCAGGCTGGAGTGCAATGGCGCGATCTTGGCTTACCACAACCTCTGCCTCCCGGATTCAAGCAATTCTCCTGCCTCAGCCTCCCGAATAGCTGGGATTACAGGCATGTACCACCATGCCCAGCAAATTTTGTATTTTTAGTAGAGACAGGGTTTCTCCATGTTGGTCATGCTGGTCTCAAACTCCCGACCTTAGGTGATCCACCCGCTTCAGCCTCCCAAAGTGCTGGGATTACAGGCATGACCCACTGTGCCTGGCCTCCTTCTATATATGTTACAGAGAACAATTATAGTCTTAGAAAGGGTTTGTCTGCTTAAAACAACCATAAAGCAATAAAAAAAACTGCCTCAGACTTGGGGCTGAGTCATGGGATCTGTGAAGAGGTTTAGGGAGACTCTGGTTTTTTTTTTTTTTTTTTTTTTTTTGAGACGGAGTTTCGCTCTTGTTACCTAGGCTGGAGTGCAATGGCGCGATCTCGGCTCACCGCAACCTCCGCCTCCTGGGTTCAGGCAATTCTCCTGCCTCGGCCTCCTGAGTAGCTGGGATTACAGGCACGCGCCACCATGCCCAGCTAATTTTTTGTATTTTTAGTAGAGACAGGGTTTCACCATGTTGACCAGGATGGTCTCGATCTCTTGACCTCATGATCCACCTGCCTCGGCCTCCGAAAGTGCTGGGATTACAGGCTTGAGCCACCGCGCCCGGCCTGACTCTGGTTTTAACACTTACTGTGAGGCTTTGGGCAAGTTATTTGACCTTGTGCCTCAGTTTCCTCAAATGTAAAACAGGGCTAATGACTGTACCAATTTGCATGGGGCATGGTGGCTCATGCCTGTAATCCCAGCACTCTGAGAGGCCAAGGTAGGCGGATCACCTGAGATCAGGAGTTCAAGACCATCCTGGCCAACATGGTGAAACCCTGTCTCTACTAAAAATACAAAAATTAGCCAGCCGGGGTGGTGGGCGCCTGTAATCCCAGCTACCTGGGAGACTGAGGCAGGAGAACCACTTGAACCCGGGAGGCGGAGGTTGCAGTGAGCCGAGATTGCGCCACTGCAACTCCAGCCTAAGTGACAAAGCAAGACTCCATCTCAAAAAAAAAAAAAGATTAAAAAAAAAAAAAAGTAAGGCCGGGCTCGGTGGCTCACGCTTGTAATCCCACCAGCACTTTGGGAGGCCAAGGTGGGCGGATCACCTGAGGTCAGCAGTTCGAGAGACCAACCTGGCCATGGTGAAACCCCATCTCAATAAAAAAAAAAAAGTTGCTCACTAAGTTTTACCTTTTACTATTATTACTATTCCAGTTATCATCCTTGCCAGGTTGCTCAGATACAGCACTTCTAAAGCTCCTGGACATCCAATAAGAGTAGCCATTAATATGACAATAACTCAGCTGTAGGAAGGAAGCTCCCTTGATCCCAACATGGGTGCAGAGATGAAATGAAATGATTAGAGCCCCACCTAGGCGCATGGCTCTCATATAGCCCCTGTGCATTCCCCACCCTACATCCAGTTCTGTTAAGGGCCCAGGCAGCCACATCAAGTCAGGTCTGGGGCCTTGGCATCCACACAGCACTCTATAAAGAATGTCCCAGGAGATCCTGGCGTCCACATGCAGACTCTTGGAAGTGAGGGAACTGGGGGCTTTAGCGGCAGCTGTTGAGTGTGAGCTACTTTTGTTGTTTTCCATTGGGCCAGATGTTACAGCTCCCCTCCCCTGTTCCCCGTCCGATCTTGGTCTACAGCCTTGGGCATGGAGCCTGGACACTGAGACTGGGAAATCATGTTCCCAGAGTGCACGGGGCAGGGCAGTGCTGGGAACTGAAGTTTCCAGGGACTTGCGAAGCACACAGAGAACTGATGTTTGGGCCCCTCTTGAGAGGTGGAGGAGCTTGAGTGTCCCAGCAGGCTTCCTGCCTTGGGAGGGCAGCACACTGAGGATGCCACCTCCAGCTACTGGGGCACCCCAGGAGCCTCCCTCTCACATCTAAAGCCCAGATGCTCACATGGGGCACTGTGGCGATGTGATACAGTCTGATGTTTGCGATGGATATAGTCTGATCCCAGGATCTTCCTGACAAGCCCAGTCTCTTTTGAATAAATCATTTTTGGCTGTCTTGTAATTTTCCCTGGAAGTCATGTACAAGGAGAAAAGTAATCATGATTAGCTCAATGTCCCAGTTAGTAGACTTCTGGCTTACTGGAATTCTTACTTTTCTTCTCTCCTCCCTGGCTATCAGGCAAAGTCCTCCACACCCTGTTAAGTAGAGGAAAGCTCTCCCTGCTCATGAGCCACAGAGCAGATGGTCCACGGCAATCCCTACCAAGGGACTGTGAATTTCTTGTCAATGTGTATCAAGGCTCATGAGGGAGCTGAGAAAGGGATGTGATGTGATGTGATGTGAGTGGCCCTTCAAGCCCTCCTACTGCCAGATTGCAGCACAGAGCACAGACCCAGTAACTGGAGGAAAAGGAAGGTCCTTCGTATCATCCTCCTACAGAGGAAGCAACCATGTTTGCTGAGCACTTACTATGCGCTGGCCACACTCACTCCTCACAACAGTGCTATATGGCGGCGCTTTCATCACTCCCACTGTACAGAAGGAAAAACTGAGGCCCAGAGAGGTAAAGCCAGGTAGACAGCCAGTGGCAGAGCAGGTCACACTGACCCTACTGTCCCGTTTTTTCTGCTCTGCCCTCAAGGGTGCATTAAAGAAAGCCATACACACATCCATCTGTGGTTTGGTGGTCAGGAAAGTCTTGAGTTAAGGAGTCCAGATGATGGGGTATTGGCCACTGGGGGCAGCAGGTGGCCTCATCTCCTGTTTGTTTCAGATTAGAAATTAAAACACTTGAGGGGAAAGCTGGCTTGCTTTCCTCCCTCTCTCAGAGATAAGCTTTGGCTGGGCCCTTGGCTGGACTCCCTGGTCCTTCCTTAGGACCACTGCTGTGGGGGAGAAGGCTCAGGACCAGTGAAGGGTGGTGGTTATGGATTGGGAGAAAGAAGGCTGCTGGGGACTGAAAGCCCCAGTAACACCGCGCCCCTCCTCCGGTGCCACCTCAGTTGGCCCTATCTGCAAACATCTCATCTGTCAGATCTGATTATGTTGGAGATGTTAGAGGCACTTAGCTGAGTCCGACACCGGGGGACGTGCAGGCCCTGGCTTTCCTCACTGGGAGCTGAAGAGCAGATTAAACTCACGTGGCCGGATGGCTTGGATCTCCAGCTTACGGTGTCCCTTCACTTGTGTTCCCTAGATGGCATCTATTATGGAGACAATCGGTTTAACACAGTGAGCGAGTCAGGAACAGCCACGCTGAAAGCTAGGCCAAGAGTCCGGCCCCTGCTGACTTTCCTTCCGCTGGTGAGTAAGGTTCTGCTCTGAGGTTGGAGGGTCTGCTCTGGGCAAGGACACAGGCCTGCCCCAGCCTGAGTGGACATCAGCCACACCCTCCGTCTCCCCTTCCTGATGTTGACCCGGGGGCCAGGGGTGGGGCACTACTGGAAGGAGACGAGGCCAAGGCTCACAGCAGGGAGTCTGGGATTAGGGATGCCAGCTCTTTCGGAGCCAAGCCCAAGGAGAAGTAATGGAGAACTTGTGTGCAGGGGTGACACAGCAGTGGGTATCCCCAGCTAAGCAGGGTTCATTTTCCATAGTCACTGATGACGGTCTGCTTCGTGCCATGCCCTGCATTAGGTGCCGGATACAGAGATGACTGGGCCAGCATTGCTGTTCTCAAGAGCTGTCCATTGCAGGAGACAAAAGTATTTTGCTTAACCCAGTATATTCAAAAGAGCGTCATTGCAACATTTAATCAATATACAAAATACTAATAGGCTATTTTACATTGTTTTCTTTTTTTGAGATGGAATTTTGCTCTTGTTGCCCAGGCTGGAGTACAGTGGCGCAATCTCAGCTCACCACAAACCTCCGCCTCCCGGGTTCAAGCGATCCTCCTGCCTCGGCCTTCGGAGTAGCTGGGATTTACAGGCATGCGCTGCCACCACATCCGGCTAATTTTTTTTTTTTTTGAGACGGAGTTTCGCTCTTGTTGCCCAGGCTGGAGTGCAATGGCTCGATCTCGGCTCACCGCAACCTCCGCCTCCTGGGTTCAGGCAATTCTCCTGCCTCAGCCTCCTGAGTAGCTGGGATTACAGGCACGTGCCACCATGCCCAGCTAATTTTTTGTATTTTTAGCAGAGACGGGGTTTCACCATGTTGACCAGGATGGTCTCGATCTCTTGACCTCGTGATCCACCCGCCTCGGCCTCCCAAAGTGCTGGGATTACAGGCTTGAGCCACCGCGCCCGGCCAATTTTTGTATTTTTAGTAGCGATGGGGTTTCTCTGTGTTGGTCAGGCTGGTCTTGAACTCCCGACCTCAGGTGATCCGCCCACCTCAGCCTCCCACAGTGCTGGGATTACAGGCGTGAGCCACTGCATCCAGCTAACATTCTTTTTTATTCATACTAAGTCTTAAAAATCTGGTGTACTACCCATATAGCACATCCCGTTTCTGACTGAGACATTTTAAGTGCCGAATGGCTGTTTGCGGCCAGTGGCTACTGTGCAAGACAGCCCAAGTCTACAGTCTAAACAACCAGGCTCCTAGCTCTGAGGCTTGCTCCTGTCTGTTGGACCTGGGTTGTGGGTGGCACAATGTTGTCACTGGGGTCACGGCATCCTCTTGCCTCCATCACGGTTTGTACTGCCTGGACTGAAAGTCCTCTTGCCTGGTCTGAGCTCTTGTGGCCCTGTTAGACTTCATGGCAGCCCACACATTGGTCCTGGGTCCCTGTACCTCCTACCTAGCACTGCCTGGCACAACTACCTTCCTCTCTCCATCACCATTTTTTTTCTTTCTGCTGTGTCCAATCTCAATAATTGGACCCCTCAAGTTTCTTCTTCTGCTTCTTCTTCTTTTTTTTTTTTTTTTTTTTTTTTTTTGTTTTTTTGTTTTGTTTTGTTTTGAGACAGAGTCCTGCTCTGTTGCTGAGGCTGCAGTGCAGTGGCATGATCTTGGCTCACTGAAACCTCTGCCTCCTGGGTTCAAGCAATTCTCCTGCTTCAGCCTCCCAAGTAGCTGGGACTACAGGTGCCCACCACCACCCCTGGCTAATTTTTGTATTTTTAGTATAAACAGGTTTCATATTGGCCAGGCTGGCCTCAAACTCCTGACCTTGTGATCTGCCTGCCTCATCCTCCCAAAGTACTGGGATTACAGGTGTGAGCCACTGCGCCTGGCCCAGACCTCAAGATTCTAGGTGGGACAGAGGCAGTCTTACATTCTCCTAGCTGCATCTCTAAGGCCTCTCTGTGGAGGGCTGAGCACACAGATCTCTGGGGATACAACTTTAAATAATTTATTTTCTGCTTATAAAGGCAATTCATAGACATTACAGATAAATACAGAAAGTGCAGCACCACCAACAACAAGGTATAAATCAAATAAGTCAGCTTTGAATCCTAGCACTTTGGGAGGCCGAGGCGGGAGGATCACTTGAGGTCAAGAGTTCAAGACTAGCCTGGGCAATATAGTGCAAACCCATCTCTACAAAAAATTTAAAAATTAGTCAGGTGTGGTGGTGCGTGACTGTAGTCCCTGCTACTTGGGTGGCTGAGGCAGGAGGATTGTTTCAGCTCAGGAGGCTGAGGCTGCAGTGAGCTATGATTGCACTACTGCACTTCAGCCTGGGTGACAGAGACAGACCCTGTCTTAAAAACAAAGAAAAAAAACAAATCAGTCAGCCCCTAACTTTGTTTCCAGAGAATGCATAAAACTCTGATAGAAGTGATTGCACCCATAAATGCAGATGAAATCAGTTTGAAATATTCTATTTTCGAAAGTTAATTAGATTCCCTCCTGTCACTTTACCCACAACACACATACCCAGATTCACAGCAGTGTGGGCCCAGAGCTGACACACCACTAGTGGTCGGTAAAATACTAAAACATTGATCTGTAAAATGGGAATAAAAAAATAATAACAAATAAAATACTGAAATACAGCTGGGTGTGGTGGCTCACACCTGTCATCCCAGCACTTTGGGAGGTCGAGGCAGGCAGATCACAAGGTCAAGGGTTTGAGACCAGCTTGGCCAACAGGGTGAAACCCCATCTCCACTAAAAATACAAAAGTTAGCTGGGCATGGTGGCGCGTGCCTGTAATCCCAGCTACTCAGGAAGCTGAGGCAGGAGAATTGCCTGAACCCAGGAGGCGGAGGTTGCGGTGAGCTGAGATTGAGCCAACATACTCCAGCCTGGGCAACAGAGCAAGATTGTCTCAAACAAACAAACAAACAAACAAACACACTGAAATACTTCCCTACAGAATAGAAATAGCTGTTGTCTCTGGAGTGCTTTCTGCTGTCCTGCTCCTCCCCTAGATCTGGACGACTCCCAAAGCAGCAACTAAAGAGTTAATGTGGGCCCAGCTGAGTTCATTCTGATTGGTGGGCATCCTTATCCGTACCCCCCAACCCACCCCCACCCCCGGCACCTATCAGCTCTGGGCCCCTCAAAGACCCGTGCAAGGTCCTCACCTGCCAGTCCTCCCTGGCTCTGGTTTGGATCTGGTCTGGGCAGAACATGACTGAGGGGCTGTAAAGACCCCAGGCAGCCTGGCCAAAGTCTTTGGGGCCCCTGGAGTGAGCTGGGCCGGCTGGCCAAGCCTGAGTTCCAGGCTTTTCTGGGGAAATCCTTCCTGGGAGCAGTTCTTTTGGGCAAGCCTCAAAACCAGTCCCAGGAAATGGGGGCTTCTTCCTAAAAACTCATGCCCCCTCCCTGGTGAGGGTGAGAGAATGGACAGATGGTGAACCAATGACTGAAAGGGGCCTTGTTTTACAGAGGCAGGAACTGAATCAGGAAGGGGAAGTTCGCTGGTTCCCTCGGTGCTGGCTGACGGGGGAAGAGCAGGCGGAGCGACTTGCCAACCAGTGGCATGGCCTGTGATGGTGGCTGGCACGTGCTGAGCACTCACTGTGTGCCAGGCATCATTCTGCGTGGACCATACCTGTTAACAGAGCCACCCTCTGAGCAAAGTGCTATCATTAATCCCATGTTGGCCGGGCGCCATGGCTCATGCCTGTAAATCCCAGCACTTTGGAAGGCCGAGGTGGGTGGATCACCTGAGTTCGGGAGTTCAAGGCCAGCCTGAGCAACACAGAAAAACCCCATCTCTACTAAAAATACAAAATCAGCCGGTTTTGGTGGTGCATACCTGTAATCCCAGCTACTTGGGAGGCTGAGGCAGGAGAATCACTTGAACTTGAGAGGTGGAGGTTGCAGTGAGCTGCGATCGCACCATTGCACTCCAGCCTGGGCAAAAAGAGCAAAACTCCCGTCTCAAAAAAAAAAAAAAAAAAAAAAAATCCCCATGTTACAGGCAGAGAAACTGAGGCACAGAGGGGGAGTAACTTGCTTAAGGTTATGCGGCTGAGTGGCAGAGCTTTGACTGGAATCCCTGCAGCCAGGCTTCAGGGTACAAGGTCTATTCAGGCTGTTCTACTCTCCCCACCACCATCTACATAGGAGCTTTTTTCTTCTCCTTCCAGGACCAGACGGCAGCACCACTTCCATCTCCCTTGCCTGCCTCTCTGAATCCCTGTCCAGCAGCCAGGACCCAGGCCTCTTGCCTCTTTTGGCTCATAGATGCTTTTCTGTTTTTTTGAGATAGAGTCTTGCTCTGTCACCCATGCTGGCGCGCAGTGGCGCCATCTCAGCTCACTGCAGCCTCCGGCTCCCAGGTTCAAATGATTCTCCTGCCTCAGCCTCCCTCGTAGCTGGGACTACAGGTGCACGCCACCACACCCAGCTAATTTTTTGTATTTTTAGTAGAGACAGGTTTCCACCATGTTAGCCAGGATGGTCTACATCTCCTGACCTCATGATCCACCCACCTCGGCCTCCCAAAGTGCTGGGATTACAGGCGTGAGCCACCGCACCCGGCATTCATAGATGCTTTTGACACCAAGATGAGGCTGTGAGCCACATGCACCTAGTTTTGCTTATAATTTCAACAAGGGACTGAAGCCTACCCTTGATGTCCCTTTAGATTAGGAACCCTTGGCCCAGTGGCTTGCCTCACAGGGACTGTCCTGTGCTCCTCATCAGGACACAAGAGAGGGCAGCTTCCACACTTTGTCACCCGCTCCCGGGTGGAGGGGAGTCCAGCCGGCAGCTCAGTTCTCTCCTGTCTGACCTCCTGACTCCTCTCCCATAGGCCCTGGCTAGGTCCTTCGCTTTCTTTCAGCAGGGACAGGAGGCCGGGAAGATGGGGAGAAGAGGGAGGGCCAGCTCTGTGTGTGTGGGTGTGGGCTCACACATGCACACGCACACAGCCCTCACCCAGCCCAGCCAACTCA